GGTTGGGGGCAGCTGCCTACATAGGCAGGTGCTGTAGCTCTTGTGAATTTTATTAATAAAGCGCCAAATAGCAACAACAGTCGCCTCAAGGCGCTTTATATTGTAAGGTAGACCCTACAACAACACATACAGAGAAAAAGCCAACAATCTTATGACCCCCTATGAGCAAACACTTTAATGACAGGGGGAAGGAAAAACTCCCTTTTAACAGAAGAGAACCCTCCAGGAGAACCAAACTCAGGGAGGGGCGGCCATCTGCTGCGACCGGTAGGAAGACAGGACAAAAGACATGCTGTGGAAGAGAGATAGAGATTAATAACAAGTATCGAACTCACCTTCATCTCCTCCTTTCTTCTTCTCCTCCTTCCTGCTGTCATGCGTGGTTGACTTCTTGCTGTGTTTAGCAGCCTTCTGTACCGGACTCTGATGTCTCTCTCGGTCTCCGCTTCGCTTCTTCCCCTGACTCCCTCCGCCTTCTCTATCGCTATTCGTCTGTGCGTGGCGTTGCCGCCGCTCCTCGTCTCGGTTTCGGTCGCTGTGGTGGTTCTTGCTCGGCTCCTTGTTTGGTTTGGTGTGGCGGACGTCTTTGCGGGAAACAGGGGGAGGAGGTGGTGGCGGGCTGGGTTCAGGTTCGGGCTCGGGGCTTTCGTATTCGTCTGAGTGATACCCTCCTCGCTGTGGGGGACTGTACTGGTCGTGCTGAGGAGGTGAGGGCGAATAGTTGGTGTGGTAACCTCTTTCCTCCTCTTCCTCCTCTACGTAGGAGCGGTCTTCCTCAGGCGAGGGCTCTCGGGTACGTTTATGGTCTCCTCTGCCGCTCGCGTCGTGGCCTCGAGCCTGCGTGTGAGATCTGGAGCCGTGGCTGTTGGGTCTGAGGAAGAAAGATGGAGACAGAACTCAGTTTTTGCAGATGACGCCATTTAATTTTGGGGTTTTATTTTGAAGGTTTGGATCTTCTGTCCTGAAAAGTCATCGTTACACACGACCATTGCAGAAACAGAGCACACAGCGTGCAGACATATGAGAGCTAAAGTCATGTCAAGGCAGAGGTGTGCAGCCGATACCTGTCTCCAGACTGAGGAACCAGTTTCTTCCATTTGGCTACGAGATTTTTTGCCACTTCTCCAGCTAATTCATGTTTCCTGAAGGAGTTCACAGCCTTTCCCACTCCAGTTTCCTACGAGAGAAATTCCCAGATTTAACAGTCATGCTTTGGCAGCTCCAGGCAAGCGATTTAATTGGCCAGAAACAAGTTCAGGAGGGAAGCTGTCAACCTGCTGTCTCACTCATTTATCTGGAATATTTTGCCTCTGATTTTTGCATCGACAGTTTGGAGGTGATGAAACAACACATCCTTACCACCAATATGTCCACAGTCATAGGAAGCTCCCCGAGTCTTTTCAGAGTCTTCAGCAGCTGAAATAAAAAGAAAGGAGAAACTAATTTATCATTTGGAGAAAGAGTCCCGATTCCACCACAGAGCCTTTCCTTATTTTATGTCACAGTGATGGTTGTTCATATTAGACGAAGCCAGAAACTCAAATACTGCAGACGTGACACCTGTTCTTCAAACCTTTTGTTTGTGAGATACAGTCAGTCACAAGAAAGTTGGACTTAAGGGAGACAGAGTGTAAGATAAATTATTTTGAATCAAGAACCATGTAAAAGCTACTCTGGTAGAGTCCAGCAATAATAATATAGAGCTGAAATTAAGCAGAACGAGTTTGTTTAAATTTATTTTCCTACAACAGTTACTGAAGCTGCTGTTTTGGTAAATATTACTGTTGAGCCCCTGAAAGGTGACAGAGGAGATTATTCCTGCCTTTGTTTTAATCCACATGAAGAGTTGGCGTGTTGGTGTTTTACAGTTAAAGGAATAACCTGATGCTACATTTAGTGCTCGTTACATGAGGGTTGGGCTCTGCTGGTCGTGAGCTCAGCCTGATACTGAACACGTGAAGATATGATGATTATCGCTGTGACTTTGGCTGCTGCTGTGCTTCGTGCTTTGCAGTGGAAAAGTCCAGCAGATCCATTTGAACCTGAGCTGCTTCTATGACACACAGCAGGAGCCCAGGCTGGATTTCCACCAGCTCACGCTGCGCCTGTTTATCAGCTACAACTGTTAACTTTACTAAAGCTTCTAATTAGCTACAACTGTTACTGTTTTCGCACATAAAACCTGCTTTAAAATTTTCAAAAACTTTGAGAGCTCATCCTCAACTAACCTGGTCCAAACTAGCCCAGTGAATGGCTTTGGACAGTGAGGTGTGAGGACTAAAAATGGAAAGACCACAAACTTTATTATTTGGTACTAAAATACACATAAGACAGCTAATTAAATGTATTTAGAACTTCTTTACATTAAAATAAAGGCGGATTTTTATACAGCTGTTTAAGTGGTCTGACCCACGTGATATTAAATTGAGCTGTAGTGTGTGGCCCGCCTGACACCTGTGGTTTAAACAGATACACAAGTGTGTCATAAAAACAATCCTTATAAGGAATTGTGACAATAGCAGTAAATTTGCTGGGACTGTTGTGGCCCGTTAACAGGTGACTGCTAGGCAACATAATGTAATCGTAGTATAATAAGAGATAAGAGGCCTAAATTTGCATCCACACTGGAAGAGATTTGCTCGTCTTGTGTCGCTTTGAGGCAGATGTTAATGTATAATGTATTTACTAGCAGTCCAAAATTCTTTGGCAGTGGTTTGGCATTGACCATGTGAGGAATTTCTTATAAGCATATACAAGAGCTAAAGTTTGTGGGGTTTTTTTTTGTCTTTGTACACTTTTGTATTTTCATTTTATTTCCCAGTAAAAACAGAGGATTCAGATGCTAATCATCTTTAGGTTTCAGCAGGGATCCATCCACACAACACCTCCTTTTGAGACTCAGCAGAGCCAATTAAAATGTGGGACATTGTCTGAATAGACGGGTGGGGAGTTGATATGCTGTACAGGCCCAGGTAAAAAGTAGGACATGCGGTCACCCTTAATATAACATACACTGGGATGAGTGCATCTGGATAATGAGTAAAGAATCATGGGTGATGAATTTTTATTCATACATTTGTGCTGTTTCCTGTTATTTTGTCATAGTGAATAAGAAAAACATAAAATGAAGAAGCAGGGTATATTTCCTGTGCCAATTTGAAATATGTATTCTTAACTTTTCTCTTTAACGTCTGCAGAGTCTTCACAAGTAACACAAGATGATTTACCCTTTTGTGCTTGCCTTAAAAATGTCCCGCACTAATTCTAGTTTAAATAAAGGTCGACACATTTACAGATGGATCCCTACTGAAACCCAAAGATGTTATCCCATAGAACGGCAGCTGTAATAACAGTCTGAACACTGAACACAACCATTCAACGACTGCAAAACCAACTAAAACATCTCGAAAACATTTCATTTAAATTAAACACATTACATTAAAAAACAATAAACCGGGGAAGCTAGGGTAAACTCAAGGAAATTTTGAGCATTCAACAATTAATTTCCTACATTTCATGCCTCAATTTGCACTTTTTCCAAGATCAGTTTAGAAGGAAAAATAAAAAGGAAAACTCCTTTTTTTTAATTTTACATAAAGGATTTTTCCTTTATGTAAAGGAAAACACAGGAATCAGTTCAAAAGAATCTAAAATGAAATGCAATGACACTCTAAGCTATTTTCAAATAATTATTCTCAATTTTTCTAATGTATCAATTTTTAAAACATTTTGTCGCCCATCAATATTTATTCTTGTCATCTTTAGTTTGCCTGGTTCCTGACCAGTCAGACTGTAATGACCTGACTGCTTTTGAGTCTTTGTATTTGGATCGGTAACCTCTTAAAATATTACTTTTCCATGTCTGAAATAAACTAACTCTCCATTTTCAACCTTTCAACCATGTTCAGTAACAGATTCTGAGGTTTCAGTCGAGCCTCTGGCGAAGACATAAGTCCTCTGCCCGAGGATTTCAAGGTACTGCTGCAAACGGTTCAAATAAACGTCTGAGATGTAGCTGAAGGTGACTAAAGAAGGTCTTAAAGGCAATCAGTCTGTTACAGTCAGGCATGATGAGATGAAGGCAGGGATAAGATTCAGTGCGTTTTGATTACATGATTGCATTATTAGGTTTGTATTATTTGGGACCCAGTGGCAAGGCTTTGTGTTTTTGTATGTTTCTCCTGCAAAGTCCGAGTCACTTAAACAACTGGTACATCACAATTCATTATATATTAAAACTGGAAAAGTGAACAGGGCGTTAAAGCAGATTTTCGTGCATTTCCTCCCTGAGATTTTCTCGGTAGAGAGGCTCCATCTGCTCCGTGGACCTGCTTTATATGAAACTTGCAGCTGCTGTCTGACTCACACTATCTGCGCTCAGCTCTGCGCCATCACTGCTAAAGGATGAGGTGGCCTAACGTGGCAGAGCTGTTAGAAAACCTTTGCCCTCCTGATTTTTGCGTCTTCTTTTGCAGTTAAAGCTTCACTTGTGCAGCTTGTTTGTGCTCAGCAAACGCATCACACGCATCCACGCTGCTTTGTTACACACCAGCAGTAAACAAAGGCGAAGCCAAGAGGCCGTGTGTCACCATTTACACGCTTTTATCTCCAATTTTCTTTAACAATACACTCCGGGTTTGGACATGAGTAGGAGCCCAGCTCCAGTTAACCAGAATCGGGTAAATCTTAGAGGCCTGTCGCCGCTGAGCTGTCACTACTTTCTAACGTTAGCTAGCTGAACGGCTAACGACTGCTCTAGCTTCGAGTTTGGTTTTCGGCTAAAATATATCGTGTTTGGTGCAGCTGCTCCGACAGAAGGCAGATAATCAATCCATATGTACTAACAACGAGCTGACAACCGTTACACTGAGCTGAAAATGTAGGGTTAAACAACTACGTTATAACAAGTTAAAACCCCTTAATTACTGTGACGTCCCACACGGTGCCTTCACAGGCTGTCGGAACACACTGAGATACTAAGAAACGATTGTGTTTGTGGTGACGCCCTTCTGAAATACTATTGTTAAAATAAATTTTAGAAAAAAGAAGATTACTTTAGACACAATAAGAAATCACATAAATACGGTAAATGCCTCTCTACAATTTGAATTGATGCAATAACAGATAATGGTAATTCAGCAACAAATACCCAGATATAAGATTGTCTTGTCCAAACTGGCCAAATGATTCAGCTAAACAGCCAAATAACACGCATTTACATTTTATTCAATCATTTGCATTTCAATTAAAGTCCCTAAAGGTCCTTGAAATATCAATTTAAACACTGCTACATAATTATGGTTTACTAAATGAGCAGCTTTTTATTTTTAATCTATTTTAACTAGAGCCTGGCCGATCCCTTAGCCAATATCAGCTATTTGCAGTGTTTGAATCGGTGTCTGAATTTACGATGGTCAATAAATGAAAGTTAAGAAAGTAAAGAGATGGGAGAAACACCATTCAACCATATTATGAGTTGTGATGTTCCATAGTTTGTCCACCAGTGGGCGCTCTGCAGCTTCCCTGCTGGCAACAGGAGACATATACAACAAACGTGGCTGATGTCAGGGAAATTTGTTTATGTTTTGTGTGTTTTAAAGAAATATCTAGATATATAAAAGAATATTGGATTTTTATCTAATCAGATATTGGTATCACTCACACTTTAAATTGAATGTATCCTATCTCTGAAATAAATCCCACAATTCTGTGGGCTACAGAGGGTCATGACATTTTCAGTTTATATAATCAATGTATATGACTAATTTAAATAAGTTTAATTATATTACAATATATATTACAATATACAAATATATTACAATTACTTGCTATAACTGAAAATAAATGGTTGAAAAAAATAGATTCAGATTTTAAAACATCCAGGGAGACGACAGGCTGTGTGAATTGTTCTTACTGTGATGAGGTAAAATTTAAAAATGCAGAGCTGTTTAGGGAATTTGGTGTTTTCTGCATGACACAGTAAAAAAAAACCCAATAAACAAAATCACAAATATGAACAACACCATGCCAAAATTTTTTGTTAATCTATTACTCAGTAAGTTGCATTTTAGAAATGTGAAAATGTGTATGACCGGCACAGATGCAGCTTCTGTTAACAAGTAAATGACCTGATGCGTGCTCAATCTTCCAGGTAAGAAAATCCCTGGAAGTTGACTCTGTTAATCTGGATGTGACGTTTTCAGTGGGAGAAATGTTTTGTCATTCATCCAAGTGACTTTTTCAGTCTCTGCTTCACTGAGTGACTGAAGAACTCACTTGAATGAGTGACGAACTGTTTTGGGAAATACACGACCTGTTATTATTGTGCAAGAAGGAAAAAGGAACTTTAACTCTTACACTAAAGGGAAAAATAACCAGAACTGTGTTTAAAATATTAGTAACAACCTGTTTGAGTGGAGTTTAATTACTATGTAAAAAAAAGTTCAGGAAAGTGACAGGAAAGTGCAGAATTTGGACCAATCATGCCTGCATTTACATTCTCCCCTGAAGGCCCATGTTGAGACTGCCATAAGCATTGTAGTGTTAAAACATGTTGAATTTCCTGACTGACAGACCTACCCCCATATCTACAGAGGACTGTCATAGAGGACCTATAGAGTGAGTCTTCCTCACTGGCCTAGTTAACAGCTGAAGCTGCAGCCTCACACATGAGTGATAAATGGAAATCCTATTAGCTATATTGGTTTAAGGAGGCAAGAGTAACTGTTTATATACCAAACACATCAATACCCAGAATCAGTGTCAGATTAGTGGCAGGTATGATTTCCTTGGTGTATACTTTCATTATCCCTATAATAAATTACACCCAAATCATAATCCCAAACATCTGTTGTACACAGCAACAGACAGTGGAGATATTTACACTACAACTATGGTTTATATTATGATTTCAACATGTAGAAATGATGAGAAGTATTGGAAATGTGAATTGTTGATCTTATTCTCCTAATTTTAAATACTTTCGTTATCATACAGTTATCCCAATGCTAATCTAATACTCTGCAAATGAATTAGATTAGTATTGTATTGCAAATAAAGCTGCCACTTCAGGAAACTGCTGATGCTTCATCATCACAGTCTGAACCGAGAAATGTGAGAAGACAGAGTCGGAGAGCGAGCCGTGAACGCAGCATTTAAAAAACGTTACGACTTTCTGGGAGCCGTCGCCGTGACCGCGGCTTCCTCACGTCTGTCGGTCACGTTTCGCGGAACGATCGGTGCTGACCACCAAACGTGTCCGTGTCGACCTGCTGGGCCGTTACCTTTCGGGGCTCCTGGTTCTCCTGGAGCCGGGACTGAAGTCTCTCCACTGTTTCCAGCAGTTCCTCCGCCATGTTTACTGCTGGTACCCTGTCGCCCGGAAACGGTTTGATCCAGACCGAGCAGAGAAAGGGAAGAAACGAGGCGACTTCCGGTACCTGGGACGACGGAGTTTAGAAAATAAAAGCCCAGTGCCAGGAAGAAAAAAACAAAACAAAAACAAAACGTAATTCAAACGTAATTCAACATGTACATTCATTTAAGATGTAGCATTATTTTTTTTTTTTTACTCTTAATGATTTAAAAACAATCTGAAAGCAAAATAAACACAATAAAGTGAACTAACTATAAAAGTATTAGTTTGTTTTCCACAAAAAAATTGAACATATCTACTAAAAAAACTAAGCTTATGACGTAAACTCACACCATCTTATTCAGTTTGGCTACCATACCCCCAAACAGATTTAGCTTCACTAAAGTAACATAAAAAAAAAAAAGTTCATAAGCACAGACAAAGCAGAGATGCTGTCAACCACAGACTGACTGGAAGGGTCACTTTAAAACAAGAACACCCATTCATTGAATTCCTCTATCAACAATTGTTTCCAGGGGACCAGCTTCAACATTTCTGAATGCACTTGCATATACTTTAGCGTCTCCAGGAGCTTGTACAAAAAGTCACAAATGTCTTCCACGTTAAATGTATTGGTATCACTGATTATGCGATAACTTGGAGCTGGATGTTTTCCTAGAGTTATGCCATAAGATTCATTCTTAATTTCTTAATTTCTTCTTAACTAGAGTGTTGGTTGACTTACTGTTAATTTTTTTTTTTTTATACAAAGGAAAGCTACTTTCAGCTACCTCCTTATTCACAAAGAGTCAGCATAGCAGTTAGCTTCACATGTTTGATTTGGCAGATTTTTCTTTTTTTTTTTTTACACCAGTTGCCCTCCTGACATAACGCCAAGAGGATATGTGTCTTTTCTTGGGATCAAACCAGGAGTCATTTGCTTGCTATGTGATATGTGAACCACTGCATTATCCAAGCATCTCATCAGGAATCACAAACCTGTAGCTGTCTGGTTTGTTTGGATTTGAATTTCTGATATTTATTGAATGCATGTTTATGTGAGACAACACAGGTGATATTTTTATATTATGTCAATTCTGTGCATGACTCCAGTTGTCAGTTTTTGTTGCATTTAAATTCCAGGCACATTTATTACTATCCACTAAACACTAGACAACTTAATGTTTGCAGTAATCATAAAATAACTATTGAGCTATGCTAACCCTGTTTGCTGGTGTGAAAAAGCTGAGCAACAAACTAACAAAGAAAACAGACACACAAGAGAGAAGCCAAGTTTAACACCTGACACCCTGAGGTCCCAAAGGAGGGAGGGTGGTGAGAAGAGAGCAGGCCTGTTATGGATTCTATTCTAGGAGGGGAGGGGTGATGAGGGGGTGCCTGTATTTGGAAATGGAGGTGGATGCTGGAGAAGGGAAATGAAAGAGGAGGGTCTGATGGGGGTTGAATCATACGTTACAGCTTTGTTGGGGACCCTGATACTGACATACAAACAGTCACATACACACACACACAGCACTGCTGCAGATGGACAGAGGACAGAGGGACGGAGCTAAGAGGAACCTGTGAGTGAACAACAACCCAGAACAAAGAAAGACGGTGAAAGAAGAAGAAAAGGAAGGGAAGAAGAGCAGGAGCGAGGCCAGAGAAAGAGGTAAAATACATTTAATTTCAATGCTTAACAGCATCTTGAGGGTAAATACTTTTTTTTGTGGAGATTTTATTAAAGTGAAATAAAAACAAAACACATATGAAATGCTATCATCATAAAAACTAGAATTTATTCTAATCTTTATATTTAACTGTTGAGTGGAAACAATGT